GATAGTTAATTAGGTAAGTTCTGAAACCTGTTGTTGAAGAGCATAACAGTTTTGTTCTTTACTTTTATTTTTAACAAATAATATATGTAAGTAGTTGACAATGCTGACTACTTGGACTTCCTGGGAAAACCACCAGTTCAGCCCCAACCATCCCCACTCCTGATCCCACTTTCCTTTGATTTCATGTCTCTTTCATCTCTGCCTCTGGCCCACAGTGGGCCATCCATACATGTTAGATGTCAACCATCAAATAGATGCTGAGTAACTATTATGCTTCCAGTAGTCATGTATGGATTGAGAAGCTGGGCCTTAAAGAAGACAGCATTGAAGAACTGATGCTTTTGAACTGTGGTCCTGGAGAAGACTTTTTAGAGTCCCTTGGACAGCAAAGAGATCAAACCAGTCAATCCTAAAGGAAATCAACCTTGACTATTTATTGAAAAGATTGATGTTGAAGCTGAAGCTCCAATAATTTGGCCACACGATGAAAGGAATCAACTCATTGGAAAAGACTGATGCTGGGAAAGATTGAAGGCAAAAGGAGAAGGAGGAGACAGAGGATGAGATGGTTGGATGGCAATGGACTGATTCAATGGACATGAATTTGAGCAAACTCTGGGAGATAGTGAGGGATGGGAAGCCTGGCCTGCTGCAGTCCAAGGGGGCTCAAAGAGTCGGACACAACTCAGTGACTGAACAACAACAGCAAAACTATTATGTGTCCAGCGCTGTGCTCAGTGAAGGTATAATTGCTGTCCTGCTCTTACCAGACACTCCCCAAGAACTGAAAATCTCAGGCCACAGCCAGGCCTCACCCTGGTAGTGACGCTGAAGTGAACCAAAAAAGACTTGACGTCTGATCAAGTCTGATGTCTGTGTCCAGGTGAATAAATTAATTAGCATTAAATTTGGCCATGTTTAGCAGAGAACCAAAACAACAGTGGCTTCACCAACACAGAGGCGATGTCTCTCACACTCAGCACACGTCCAGAGATAGGTGGTCCACGCCAGTGTTTCATCTCAGCTCCAGGAAGTGCTCAGAGACCTGGCCACCTCCAGCTGCCTGCGTCACCATTCACAGTGAGGCCGTCATCCTCATGATCCGAGAGGCACAAGAACACAGGCGGTGCGTGCGTGCTAAGTCGCTCAGTCGTGTCCGACTCTTTGCAACCCCATGGACTATAGCCCTTCAGGCTCCTCTGTCTGTGGGATTCTCCAGCAGGAACACTGCATGGGGCGCGATGCCCTCTTCCAGGAGATCTTCCTGACCCAGGGATTGAACCCTAATCTCCCACATCTCCAGCATTGGCAAGCTGGCTCTTTACCACTAGTGCCATCTAGGAAGCCCAGGAGCACAGACTGCCGCATCCGTAATTCCGGCATCCGGATGGAGGAGGGGGCAGAAAAGGGAGAGCAAAGGCACACAGCGCGAGAACTGCCACATCGTACTTCTGCTTGTATTCAGTTGGCCAGAATCCATCTGCATGGCCACACCAGCTGGGAAATAAAGTATTTATTCTGAATGGCCACCTCTCTATCTAAACTTGGATGTTCTGTTAATTGGGAAGAAGGGAATTGATCCTGGAGATGAATTACCAGCCTCTAGCAAAAGGGTTAGATGTGTAGATAGGACTTCCCTGGTGGTCCAGTGGCTAAGACTCCATGCTTCCAATGCAAGGGACTAGGATTTGGTCCCTTGTTGAAGAACTAAGATCCCACATGCCTCAAAGTGCAGCAAAAAAAAAAAAAAAGAAAAAAATTATTTTAATTAAAAGGGTTAGATATGTTGATGTGTATGTGTGCACACCTGAGTATGATGTGTTATACATGTGAGCAAGTGGTTTCATGTTGTGTGTGTGGGTGGATTGGGGTTTCCTCAACACTTTGATCTCAAATGGGCCTGTTAACGTGTTCTCTCTGCAGCGACCCCAGGGAGCTCCCCTAACCCTGGTCTCGCCTCTTAGGCAGGCTTATTCAGCAGCAGCTTCTCAATTCCACATCTCAAGGAACTGTGATTTATTTTCAGTGCCCACTGGAGCATATTATCCATGGTGATCGAGGGGGCTAGTAAAACTGTTTTTCTACTCAGGTATTACAAGGTGGCCATGACATGCGAGTGACTATGATCAGAGTTAATCTGGTAATAAATTCTCTCGGGAAGGAGGGTGTCATTAATACATAAATCCTAGAAAAGGTTACCACTCAATCTTGTGCCTCAGGGGGAGGACCCCGAAATACCAGGCACCCTCTTGAGATGCCCAGGGAAGGCAAGGAGCCAAATGCTAGATTAAGGGCTGCCTACAGGTAGTGTTGCCCAAGCATTTCAAGTTCTGCCAAGTAATTACACAATTAAAAAAAAAAAGCTGACATTTTCCCCCTGTCCCCCACCTCCATCCCCCACCTACACCCTTACACACACACGTACACACAGCAGACAGGGACTTTACAGGTGCTTTTCAATTACCCTTTGAGCCAAGTGATGTTATTTGTTCCATTTCACTGATGGGAGCTGATGCTTTAGGGAATTAAATCTTGTCCAGAGACACTCGGTAAATAAGGGCGGAGCCCACTGATGAAGCTTTGGTGTCTAACCACTGGCTTCCACTTTTGGGTTTCATGGACTCGTGCTGAGGGCTTAGTAGTATTTATTTCCATTCCTCAAGCATTTGGTGGAAATGTTTACTCGGAGAATAAGGAGTTAATAGAGGTAGTGTTGAATTTTTAGGAGCCAAAACGAGCACAAAACCATTTGAAGTACCCTCTCTCGAATTACTTATATTTTTCATACATGAAATAGTTATGGGGGTACAATCTCTTAGCTTCATCTTAGAATAGAGCAGGGTGTTTGTTCCCGAGTGCCACGGTCCCAGGAGCTGCCCTGGGTCAGACATTGGGGTGGCTTATAATTTGGGCTTTTCTCCAGGCTTCCCTTAAAGCCTGGAGAAACTGGTGGGGTGGGGTAGAAAGTGTTCCAGCTTTTCTGGGTGTGGCACCTTTGGCTATGAATCCTAGCTTTGCAGCTTACTTGTTTGACTTTGGACAAGTTAGCATGTTTTCTTGGGTTTCACGTTTCCCCTTGGATAAAATTCAGATTTAAAAAAAAAACAATACTTTTGATCAAGCATTATAATATAGAAATAGACTGCTTCTTTCTTTTTTTAAATTAATGATTTAGTTTTGGTTGTGCTAGATCTTCGTTGCTGTGTGTGAGCTTTCTCTAGTTGCGGAGAGCCAGGGCGACTTCGTTGCAGTGCTCAGGCTTCTCACTGCTGTGGCTTCTCTTGTTTCAGGGCACAGGCTCTAGGTGCATGAGCTTTAGTAGTTGCAGCACATGGGCTCAGCAGCTATGACTCGAGGGCTCTAGAGGGAGGGCTTAGTAGTTGTGGCTCATGGGCTTAGCTGCTCTACCGCATGTGGAATCTTCCCAGACCAGGGATCCAACCTGTGTCTCCTGCATTGGCTGGTAGATTCTCATCCACTGTACCACCAAGAAAGTTCCAACAGCTTATTTATTTTCTTTTCTTGCTTGTGGGGTAGTAGTTCCCCAACCAGGGATTGAACCTGGGCCACCATGGTGAAAGCACCAAGTTCTAACCACTGTATCACCAGAGAATTCCCAAGACTGCTTACTTCTATTATAGTGTCAGAATATGAATTATACTAATATTGCCACCTATGGACAGAAAATGTGTTACCTGTTTTTAATCAAGACCCAGATGAAGCAGAACACAAAAAGCAGAGATGAACTTCTCTGCCATCTCCAAACCTTCATGTTAATACTTGCTGACCCATGATCATTCTTTCAGGCTCATCCACACATACTTAGCATGGATCATTGGCCACAGGCTTGCAGGCATTTAACTTGATTACCTTTTGCCTCATGTATCTCATTAAAACTTCGCAGCTTAATCAAGGATCTGCATATTATGAATGTTAGAATTCACAATTCCATGACTTTGGAAGTTTCAGACATCCTGAGCGAACACGGTAGGCTGAGAGTGTATGTGCTCTCTCTGGCCTTCAGGTCTTTGCACCAGCTGCTCTCTTGGCCACTTATGGCAACCACTTTATACTTTTCCAGAAGCCTGCCTGGACTTCAATTCCCAGCTCAGGCGACGCCTCTTTCCAGGGAGGCTGCTTTGTAATCCCGCGATATCTTGCCCTTCTTGCAGAGCTCTTTCTTAAAAATATATATATATAATTTATTTTTAATTGAAGGATAATTGCTTTACAATATTGTGTTGGCTTCAGCCATACTTGCAGAGCTGTTTCCTCCTGTATTGTTATGGCCTGTTTACTATCTCCCCTATTAAACTGGAAACACTTTGAGAGTAAAAAACATCCGTTGTTCACTGTCGCATCCTTGGTGCCCAGCACTGCATCTGACATTATCAGGCCTTCTGTAAGTGCCTGTCAGAGTCAGGCTTCCAATGGGAGAGAAAGGAAGTAATAAAGCCAGTGGTAAATGCCATCACAGAGGTATCAGCATGCTGCTGTGAGAGAGTAATGAAGAGGACAGTCACATAATCTCTAATAATAGGGTAGTAATAGAGAACCTTTCACAACTCCTTTAAAGCTCTTTGACTCACATTATCTAATTTGATCCTCATAAAAGCCTGGAGATAGGTATATTGCTGGGGATACAGGGGGAGTTTTTAGCGGTTATGGGATATGCCTGAAGTCCTGCAGCTATTAAATGGCTGGATTGAAACCAGACCTTAAAAGCCTGCGGTCCATCAACTCATGCCTTGGCTCACTGCTGTGTGGTCTACAGCACACCTCACTGTGGTTTTCTTGATTCCGCCATACCTCTCCCAGGGGAATGTATTTCATTACTGTTATTTCTAGATAATGAATTGTCTTTGAGGAGATGATAGCTATGGCAGACAGCAAACCTCGTTGTTATCCGCATCCAAAGACGTGGATGCGGGTGGTAACAGAGCACATGGGTGTTCTCGGAGATCCAGCGACGTGCCACGTGTGGTTCCTTCTGTTTTCAGGCCCCAGAAGCCCATCCCGGGAAGGAAAATGCGCTGTGGACCCCTGTACCGATTCCTGTGGCTTTGGCCCTATATGTCCTACATGGAGGCTGTGCCCATCCGCAAGGTCCAGGATGACACCAAAACCCTCATCAAGACGATTGTCACCAGGATCAATGACATCTCACACACGGTAGGGAGGAAGTGGGAGATGAGGTAGAACCGTGGCCATCCCATGGGGGACCCCAGAGGTTGGCGGAGGAGGCTGTGCAGCCTTGCACAGGGGCCCCAGCAGCCTGGACGCCCCCCTAGCATAAAGACCGCTCCTCTCCTCTTCCACTTCCCTTGCCTCCCACCTTCTCACTCTCCTCCCTCCCAGATTGGAATCCTAGTGCCCAGGCCCAGAGGGAGTCACAAAGGTCCCGGTGTCCCCTTGGCAGGTGGCCAGAACCGCAGCAGCTCTCCCTCTGGGCCTCCATCTCATTTCTAGAATGTTTTAGTCGTTAGGCATTCTTCCTGGCTGGCAGCTGAGCTCTGACCCTGCGAAGCTTCTCCTCATTACTGCCAGCCCTGCCCATCAAGCCCTCTTCAGATACAACCCTCTGTGTTTTTGCAAACAGTTATCAGTGTCTCTTGGGGCATTTTTCTGAGGTCCACAAGCTCAGACCTGCAACCACAGATGAGGTCTGTATTTAGAATGAGGGAGATGAAGTGTGAGTTCTCTCTCACCTTTCTGTTCTCTGTAAAGTCTTAAGTTAGTCAGGTTCCTCAAGGTCTTTAAATCCCAGTTTCCTCATCTAGAAAATGAAAGTGGGAAAGTGTTAGTTGCTCAGTCATGCCCAACTCTTTGAGACTCCATGAACTGTAGTCTACCAGGCTCCTCTGTCCATGAAATTCTTCAGGCAAGAATACTGGAGTGACTTGTCATTTCCTTCTCCCAACGAGATCTTCCCAACCCAGGGATTGAACCTGGGTCTCCTGCATTGCAGGCAGATTCTTTACCATCTGAGCCACCAGGGAAACCCATAAGACCTTGTGAAGACTATTAAGATAGTCATCTAGACAACAGGACTATCTTAATAGTCTTCATAAGGTCTTCATGAGACTAAGTTAGATAAAGCAAGTGATCCTCCCTGCATACCCTTGCAGAACCAGAACTGTGCGTGCCCTCTTCCAAGGTTTTCAGTCATGACTTTTGATAGCTTCCCACCTTAAAAGTCAACTTGTAAACCTGCATGGAGCTATCTAGAGACTTCCACATCTGACCACTCTATATTTCTAACAGTGGCTTTGGGCAGCCAGGGAGCAGTTAGGTGGCCAGAAGCGGGGACAGATCAGAAATAGACAGCGTCTGCATTTCCTAGAGAAAAGCCCTTAAGTTCCTTGCTTTCCAAACAGTCATTCAGCAAGCTGGACACAATAGACCCAGGGTGCCCCAACCTGTGTGGTGCTGGGATTGATTGCTGTGGGTGGCGGGGGAGGGGAGAGCCCCTCCTGGTAACCAGGGTTACTTGAGTGGGGCATTGAGCTGGGGCATCGCTGGGATAATGGCCTGAATCCCTTAGGGAGTGAGACTTCCTGGAGAACCTGACTGAGAGGGAGGAGTCTGCTTGGGGTGGAAGAGTTGGGGACAGGGCATGTATGGAAGACCTCAATGCCTGGGGAAGAAACTCAAGTAAGAAACAGGGAGTCATGGCTGGTCCTATAGCAGAGTCATCTGGAAAAGGGAACAACCTTCAAAGGCTGGTCTGGAAGCGAAAGGCAGGGTGGTTTGGGAAGGGCAGAAAGACAGGAGCCCAGGAGACCAGCTTGGAAGCATGGCGGCCACATGGGCACAAGAAATAAGGGCCCAGGGAGGATGGTGTGGAAGGGGGGAAGGAGGCACCTCCACATTCGAGGGAAGGGCGGAGTCGGGGGCGGGGGGTTCTGATGAGCTACCCTCTCTCCCACTGAGCTCTTACTCTCCCCTTCCTCCTGCATAGCAGTCCGTCTCCTCCAAACAGAGGGTCACTGGTTTGGACTTCATCCCTGGGCTCCACCCTCTCCTGAGTTTGTCCAAGATGGACCAGACATTGGCGATCTACCAACAGATCCTCACCAGTCTGCCTTCCAGAAATGTGATCCAAATATCTAATGACCTGGAGAACCTCCGGGACCTTCTCCACCTGCTGGCCACCTCCAAAAGCTGCCCCTTGCCGCAGGTCAGGGCCCTGGAGAGCTTGGAGAGCCTGGGCGTCGTCCTGGAAGCCTCCCTTTACTCCACCGAGGTGGTGGCCCTGAGCCGGCTGCAGGGGTCTCTACAGGACATGTTGAGGCAGCTGGACCTCAGCCCTGGGTGCTGAAGCCTTGAAGGGCTCTCTTCCCAAAGTCCAGGGAAGAAACCTGAGCTTCTGGCTGTCTGCAGGAGAAGAGAGCCTGTGTGGGCATCCTTTATGCAGGCCAGCGGGCCATTTCTCTCTCGCTCCTCTCAGCTGCTCTTCCAGAGGCAGAAAACTGCAAGGCAGGAAACCAAAGATATAAATACAGGTTCCATGCCCACCGGGAATGGGGGCCCATCCAGCAAACAGTAGACCGGAGCTGGGATTTTCACAGCAGTCTTCCTCCCTGTTCCAGCTCCCTCTCACTGCATGCTTCAGCATGACCTGGGGTGATTTCAGAGCCTTTGGACCATCAAGCAAGATTCCCTCTGAGAATCCAGGGAGCATCATGAAGGCTACGGGCACATACAGCTGGATATTCCCACATAACACATGATGGAAGCATCTATTTATTTATTATGCATTTTATTCTGGATGGGTTTGAAGCAAAACACCAGCTTTTCCAGGCTCTTTGGGGTCAGCTGGGGTGAGGGATGCTACTGGGGTGCCCATCGACAGGCCTCACCAAGGCAAACCCATTTTGAGTGACTTGAGGGCTCTCGAGTTTGTTCTCCGGGGACTGGCTTTGTTTCTACTGTGACTGACTTTAAATTACAGTGTTTGCAATGGCATTGCTCTGAACGGATCTCGAAGGACCAAGTTATTTTAAAAAGAAGAAGATGAGTTTTGTCAAGTGTAATATATTGCTGGGTATACCTGGAGGTGGGAAATGTGTTGATGGGAGGGGGGGAGATCTAGAATGTGTTTTCTGAATAACATTTGTGTGATGGACTCTTTGGATGGGGTCAGGTCATCTTCTCATCTTTGTGGTTTTCATGAAGAGGAGATGACTCCTTCAGGGGGATGTGGGGGTTTGCCAACCATCCATGGTTGGAGTGGTGGGGGCACTGAAGCTGAAGACTGTCAGGGTAGTGGTGAGCTCTGGCCTTCTCTGACTGTTAGAGAGTGGTCTTGCTCATCAGGAAGTGAGGGCACCACATCAGAGATGGTGATCCCCAGAGCAGGGGTCCTCGGTGTGAATGGTCTGGGTTGACCCCACATTGTGTTGATAACATGGTAGTGACCTTCCTTGGGATTTGCATGCTCACCCAAAGCAAGGCCATGTTTCCCATCCATTTGGGAAGGATTTTTATTCCAGTGGGAGAGGGAAGTCTTCAGGAAGTCTGTGGGCTTCAGGGGATGGTCCCTAGACCTGGGTCAGCAATGGGTCAGGTGAGGCCCAAGACCCCAGGACCAGCCTCCAGGATCCTCCTTCTCACTAGTGGTCATGTGCAGTAGAACAAAGGAGGAGGCTTGGGTTTCCCACCATCCTGCCATTGTGATGCAGCCATCACACAACAGGAGGTGGATCAGTCGAAGGGAATTGGAATCTAAGCGACCAATTTTAAGACTGAGCACCTACTTGTGCTCAGCCCCAACTGGTGCTATGGGCTGAGAAGCTCACCAAATAAATATTAAAATGCAAGCCCTGCCCTCAGGGACCTTGCATTTCAAATGTTAGAATCCCACTCACCAGCATGCAAAGGCTGCCATTTCACCATGGCAACGGAGCAGCTGAGACAGTGCAGTCCTCAGCAGGTGGGAAATGCTGAGCTGTGGAGGGCAGTGCCCAGGGGCCCACAGGCTAACTGTGCTTGCACTAGGTAGCATTTTTACTTTTCAGGGCACGTCAGCATCTATTACTGTGATGCCACATCCCTTTGAAGCGGGATAGCTAAGAATTTAATAAGAAGAAAATACCTAAGACCATAACAGCAGGCAGGGGGCAGGACCAAGACTAGAATCCAGGCCCTCTGACCTCCAGAGTGTCCCTTGAGCCAGGTGGTAATCTCTGGAGACGTGAACAAGAATGGCAGGGAGAGCAGGAGTGTTTGCTGGAAGAGAGGCATCCTGAGGCCAGTTTTGCAGGCGATGAGGGAAGTGAATTGCCTGGAGGGAGGAGGCTGTTTTGTTTGAAGCTTCGGTCTGAGACACCGAGGGGAGGTGATAGGGTGAGCAGCTAGTTACAAAGAAAGGCAGAGAAAGGAAAGATGGGAGGGAAGGGTTATGCTGAAGAGGACTTCAGGGGCAAAGATGTTTGCTACTGAAACATATAAGGGTGAAAGTTCTAGAATGAGACTCATGTGATGGGCAGAGTCAGATCTGCTCGAGAAGACATGTCCTGATGATCACAGTCCAGTCAGGCCGGGATGTTTTAAGCCTTTTGCTCACAAAACCTGGCATGGCACTAGGGCTCGTTCCCAGAGTGCGAAACTTCCAAAATGTAAACGATTGTGTTTTTCTGTAACTTAAAACAATTGTTTTTGTTCCAAAAAGTCCAAATAAATGACCTTTGCCCCTTGGTCCTTGTTTTTGGTCATCCGCTGTGGAGGGGCTCCAGAAGGGCTGCCTGTGTGTGACAGGGCACTGCCTGGCTGGCCCCAGTCCATCCCTGGGATCAGCTCTGCCCGGGCTTGGCCATGGCCGGCCACCAGTTATTCAGGCTAAAGGATTCCCCCAAAGCCCAGAGCACTTGCTGCACCAGAGGCTATAGGGATCAGCCTTGAGAAAAACCAAGCTCTCCACTATTTCAGAAACAAAAACTGAGAAAAGAGCGACCGCAACAAAACCATACATAAAAACACGTGGCCCAGTAACGGGCCAGGTACACAGACTGGTAAAGACCGGACTTGTCTTGTCCAGGACACAGAGCACAGACACTCACCTCTGTGGTGCAGTCTGAACTTGAGAGTTTCAAAACTCAAGCCCCGAGGAGGACCCAGGGGCCGGCCCATCAACGGCAGTCACTTCCACAGGTGAAAAATTGCTCCTCCAAAAATTGCTGATTTCTCTGGAGAGTTTAATGAGATAATGACCTAGCAGAGTGTCTGCCTTAAAACAGATTTAAGTGAATCTTCTCTTCACATCACAATTAGCTGCTGCTGCTAAGTCACTTCAGTCGTGTCCAACTCTGTGCGACCCCATAGACGGCAGCCAACCAGGCTCCTCTGTCCCTGGGATTCTCCAGGCAAGAATACTGGAGTGGGTTAGCAGCAGGCTTTAAATGTCAGTGATCCAGGCCCAGGGAACACACTGTGCAAATCCACCTCCACTAGCTTGGATCAGGGAGGAGAGTGGGGAGCAAAGCTCCTGATGGCAGGGAGGCTACAGAAGTGGGGCAGTCAGATGTGGCTGGAGCAGCCTAAGTGGACCACTTGGCAGCTTGGGGAAGTGTCTGGCCTCTCCTGGTCAGACTGGACAAGAGTCCTTTAGCTGGGAATGACAGAAACCCTAAGGCAAACCAACTTAAACAAAAAAGAAAATTTTTGGCCCACGTTGCTGAGAAGTCCAGACCTCAGTCCATCTCTTACAACACTTTCCTCAGGGACCTGGAAGGTGCTATGCCATGACCCACCCCCCCCCCCTTCCCTCCTGCCTGAGGGGCAGCCTGAGAAGTCTGCCCACCTCCAGCCAGCAGCTAGGGAAGCCAGCCCACAGTAGCAGGGGTCTCCGGGCAGAGGCCTGGGGATGACACTCCCTCCTCTGTGAAGTGACTCCCAGGGTCAGAGAAGAAAGGCTGTTCTTAGAGCTGTTCCAGAACATTCTCCCTCCTCAGGCATGCTCTCGTGCTCCCCTGAGGCAGCAGCTCATATCCACCAGACAGCTGGCAGAGTCTGGGAGCAGTGACTGGTGGCCGTGTTCAACCTCCAAAGGCAAGACTTTGGCTGAGTCTAGTGAGAAAAGCCTGCAAGCAGCCCAGGAGGGCCTTCTGAAGACCCCAACCCAGAAACTTTCTGTGCAACAGCACACAACCAAAAAAATCACACCCTATTTTTCCAAAGGGAATTTAGAGCAATTTATTCCTAAATTTAGGCTTTTAACAGTCTAGTGACATCTGACCACACAAATCCATCTGGGTTAAGTTCACCAATGGGGTGCTTAACCCTTTGGCAATCTACTTAACCTCTCTTGCACACACACTAGTCACTTCAGTCGTGTCCGACTCTGTGATTCTATGAACTGTAGCCCGCCAGGTTCCTCTGTCCATGGGGTTCTCCAGGCAAGAATATTGGAGTGGGTTGCCATGCCCTCCTCCAGGGGATCTTCCTGACCCAGGGATCGAACCCACATCTTTTATGTCTCCTGGGCTGGCAGGTGGGTTCTTTACTAGTGCTACCTGGGAAGTCCTAACCTCTCTAGCCTCAGCCTCAGTTAATCATCTGTACAATGGGAGCATAATAACACTGTCTGCATAGATTTTTAGAAGATTGAGTGAAGCTATTACCCCAGTGACTGCTCCACAAAGAGCACTCAACAAATTACATTGCTGTCATTAGTATTAATGAGTCAGGGCAGAAAAAGGAATGAGAACTGCAGTAACAGACACAGTGGATGCCCTCAGCCCACTTCTGAGTTCAATGCAGCTGGGCCGTGCAGGTGAGCCTTGCATGGCCCTCCCTGCCTCGCTCCACACTGACGCCTTAGTCAGCCTTCTCAGCTCACACGGGTCAGCCTGAAAGTGAAAGAGAGTGAAGACCTCAGAGAAGCAAGCCTCAATCAGTGGGGGGTGGGGGCCAGCCTCCTACGGTCCGCAGAAGCAATTCTGAACTACCTTCTACCTGGATTGAGGTCCTGGTGCTCACACCAGTCACCACATCAATAAAGCACTCTCAATACCTTTTCCTCCTTCCACATCTCAGTCCCTCCTGCCTCACTCTTGCCTCCAAAATACATTAAATACACCTCCTGCACCAAGAGCTCAGGCACTGCTTTTGGAAGAACTCAAAGTAAGACAACTGCGGAGCGAATGGAGTGGATTCAGATCCTGGGAGAACTGGGAAGCAAGGTTTTGGAGAGGTGCAGGAACCATTCATCTGCACTCAGAGAACCCTGGGCCACCCCGGGGAAGAAGGCTAAGTGAGAGGTCCTCAGGAAGAAGGGACTCCACCTCAGGAAAGCTTGACTTAAGAGAGTATGGACAGGAA